GCCTTCTAGAAATCTCTATTCTCAATGTCAATGTATTGCATGCAACATTCGATAGTTTTCAACATAAAAAATTATAAACACAACTTCCAACAATTGTCTGCTTTTAACTCTCTTATTATAAAAAAACTAAACAATCATAAAATATTAACTCACAAAATAAATTAATTAATACTTTCTACACTAAACAGTCTTTTATATCATGACATGAATGATTAGCTTAGTGTATTACCACATATAAACTTTTCAATAAATTTTGTAAAATTGATACATAAAAGAATTGCCATGAAAACTTTCCAAAAATCTTTAATACATTGTAGTTGTTTACTGTATTTAGAAAATGTTCAACACATTTTGTGCTACTGATGTGTTGAAAAATAAATTTTCTTCAATTTAGCCTTTCAAAATTGGGTGCACATTATATTTGGGGATGCATTATATTCGGGCAAATACAGTACACAACCTTTCAGAAAATGATTTTCTTTAGTGAATTTAACTTACTTATTCCAGTAAAGTTAAGGCTAGTCAGGTTTATAAGCTTTCATTTTTTTTACTTGTTGAGTCATGTTAAATATTTGTCAATACTTTTGTATAGTTATATGACTATGTCTATTACAAAAGTAATTTACTAAAAAGATGCATTTTAGTACTTGGCTCTAAAAGTTTCAGATTTTTATGCCAAATTTTGAAGTGCATACTTTTAATCACTTTAATATCATACAATTTGCCTGACACAAAGGTCGGTTATTGTAAGTTCTTTGTCATTAATAAACATACTTAAATAGGTTTCTTTAAAGACAAGATTTAATGGAAAATGATAAAAATGCTTTGATATGACAGGACAGGAGAAGAAGATGCATGTGGAGTGTGTAATGGAGGTGGAAGTTCTTGTATAAAGTTAAATAGAGTTCGCCCTCTTGCAGCACCTTCAAATTTGGAAACTAAGGTATTTGTCTGTTCTTGTTAATAAAGACTTAAGGATAAGTCAGGTTATATAAATTAAATCTTAATTTATAAAATAAATTACCATGATTTTTCAAACTGAGTTACTTTGATTTTTACAATTACAGTAAAATTTCTTTACTTTTTTAAAAGCAAATAATTAGTTTAATTACAGTACTATTATGATCTCTTTACACTTTTGTAATATACAAATCATTTAACAAGAGCTTGGAACACTCTAAAAGTCATAGATGCAAATCTATTTTTCTCATATTATATGAGATTAGTAGTTCTAAAAGTTCTTTTTTCTTTAATGCTGTATCCATTTCCATATTATTGGGTCAAAACATGCATGTCATGACTTTTTATGGTGTTACAGTCACAACTTAGTTAAGGAACTTTATTATCAATGTATGTCAGTACACTTGGCATTAAAACATAGTTTATAACTGAATTTTTATCTTATCTAAGTTTTAACATCTTAATTTAAAAATACATAAAAAATCTCGATCTTCATTTTCTGTGTTATGTAATGTGTCTGGGCTCTGATTTCTCCAATTTAGAATTTTCTAACTTCTGAAATAAGCTGTGGGTGTTTCCAATTAATTAGAAACACAAACGATAGATAATTATAAACATGAGTCTGAAATATGAATCTCCTATTTTCCTGATTTGCTGAGAAATCAATACATTTGTCAAATCAACCAGAGAAGACTTCCCTCTTTCTATGACTTTCCAGATTTTGGATAATCTAAATTTTATGACTGATGAATATTTAAATAACTAATAGAAAAAAGCAGGTTCTCGTCTATGTAAATCTTACAATTCTGCTTTCTTTTTTCCTGTTGGTTGACGAGAATTGCTGTTTTTTTGTGTTAATCAGATTAGGTGTTCTGAACGGAATGTTTTTAACCTGTTTATAGCTTACGATAAATTATAAGAGTTTTGGGACATTTTTTTTTCTTGTGGCTGATATGGTTTTTGAGCTATAAAATGCATATTTGAAAACTGTATGTATTTGTTTTTAAAAAAAATTGTGAGACTAAATAGGCTTAGGAGAAAACTAAATATTTTTACTTGATTGAAAATGATTCAAGTACTCAGTGAGTACTAAAAATCATTGTTTTTTATGTATATTTTTTATTAATTATTATATTTTTAACGAAAGTAACCAAAAGGGTAAAAATTATGAACTTCTTAGCTTAGCCTAATAAAACTTTTAAAATTTCACTGGCTCTATCACAGTGTTAAACATGACACTCAGATCATGTACTGCTATTTACATTAGTTTTATGGGAAACAGCTAATGGTCTCCTGCTCTGATTTATTGCATTTTGGTGTGAGGATTACAGCACTAGTGAGTACAGAGTAGAGCAATAAAATCATAATATTAAAAGAAAACAGAAAAGATTAACAATTGAAATTGTTAATAAAAGTAACATGGAAACTTTCAGATCAATGCTACAGTCAATGAAGAGTAAAAAATGGTATTACTCACTTTATTCCACATTTTTAACAGCTTGTAATTTATCTGTAGATAAATAATTTCCCTAAGGTTACTGTTAAGGTAGAGAAAATAAGAGGTAAGTATAAAAACTTCATATTCATTTAGGACCTTCTAGAGGTTATGCTGATGAATTATGAAAATTGATCTTGAAAGAAGAATTTTTAGCATTAAAATCACCTTTCACTCAAACTGACACAGTAAATACTTCACAAATTCACTGACATATCTTTAGTTGGAACACTTTTTTTAAAAAAGTTTTTACTATCTTTTAGGGCATTTCATTACTGAATTATCATGACACTGTACATTGTTTGTAGTTATTTGTCTAACCTTGTATTTAGTTAAGCCAGTAGTAGACAGCTGAAACTTAATTTAGATAAGATTTGATCTTTGTTTTTGTTTTGTTACAGAAATTGTAAGTTACATGTAACATTAAAAAGTGATATAACCAGATTATTACAATATTAATAATATATGAGTATCACTAACAAAAGTGACAGGTTTTAACATATCAAACTCATTTTGTATTTGTTGTGGGAAAAGTTTTGGAAAGTTTGATATAAGATGCTTTGCAAAGCCATCTAACAAAGCTTAGAATTTTATTGAATAGTCAGCATGGTTTCACTAAGGGAAAATCTTGCCTTACAAAATCTTTTGACATTTACTGAAAGGTTACTGCTTATGTAGATGAGGGTAAGGGTGTAGATTTGCTGTATCTGGGTTTTTAGAAAGCATTTTACAAGGTGCCAAATAAAAGGCTTGTAAAAAAATATCTCTATAGGTGTGGAGGGTAAGTTAGCAAATTGGATAAGAATGGCTGGATGGAAGAAATCAGAGGGTTGTTATAAATGAAGTTCATTCAAAATGGATTAATGTTACAAATGGGGTATCTCAGCTCTGTCTAGGACCTTTGCTCTTTCTGATTTACATCAATGACATAGAAGAAGGAATGGTCATTAAGTTACTAAAACTTGTGAGTGATATTGAGATGTTGGGTGTTGCTAGCTGTGAAGAGGATGCTGCTGATTTACAAAAGGATTTAGATCGTTTACTGAGTTGGACAAATAAATGGCAAATGAGTTTTAATTATAATAAATGCAAGATAATGCATATGTGTTATCATAATTTAAATTGTAAGTATAATTTAGATGGGAATAACCCTAACAGTGCATGAAAGAAAGGGTTCTTGGTGTAATAGCTGATCAGTCTCTTTTAGCCATCCAAGCATTGTGCTGTTGCTAGTGGTAGAGCAAATAGGATTTTAGGTTATATGTATAAGTACTTCATTCAGATAATGTTATCACTATGCACTACCGGCACTTGTGTTTAAAATTTTCTAAATTATGATAAATAATTACAAACAACGTTTTATATTTACACAATAAAAACTTTATTGAAGCCATACAGCTTCCACTTTAAAATATCTCTCTACAAGTATATGTTTCGACGTGATCTACGTCATCCTCAGTATTAACTTACAAGACTATTTTACACTTTCCCCTTGTCGCATTACTTCATTGCTATTTACATGTTTCCGTTGATATAAAAAAAAATTATAATATATCTTGCCATACATCAACGTATTGAGTTGCTGGTCCTTCATCTCTATTTAATACTTGTTTTTTATATTTCATTATTTCTAATGTTTCTCTAATATTTAATATCTCTCCTTCTCCCAGTGCACAGATGGTTCTTTCTCTTATGGGAATGTGTGTGTTTCACTCGAATCCCTCATGTCTTTGGGACAAGAGATCCTTTTAATGGTCTTTATGCAACCAAAGGATTATAAACATTGATTCACCAGATTCCCCAGTTTCTTTAGTTAGGATCATTCTATGATATCGAGGAGTTGTTAAGTCGGGACTTTACTGAGGTATGGGTTCCTCTACCGCCAACTTGTCCAGAGTTCCATCTCTTCACAACTACCTTGCTTCAGGGAGGGGGTGCATATACCAACAGTCAGAAATTTCAGGGTCTATTCATGGACGACGAGTCTTCCTTACACAATGTTTTAGTCCTTCTAGCTATTCAAAAGGCAATGTCTCATGGTCTAGGCTTACTAGGGGGAAAAATCGTCAGGCTTCACTCTGAGTATTCTGTGGTGGTGTCTTGTGTTTCTCATCGAGGAGGCACTTGGTCCAGGGCTCTTTGTTTTCAAATCTTAGGCATCATTTCTTGGGACCATTCCTATCATATCATCCTAGTAGCTTGCCATGTTCCACGTGTGATGCCTGCAGTAGCAGGTCAGTTGCCTTAATCCAAACAGTATAGTTGCTGCATCACAAGGTTCTGTTGGATTGGCTCTCATTTTGCAACTGTAATTGGTGGGTTGGCCTCTCATTGGATCTCCCAACTACTTACTGGCAATTTGGTTTTCAGTACCTCACCTTCGGGCTTTGGTAATACATCCATCAGGACAGGACAGGATTACAACTCTAGGCCTTCCCTTCAATTCATATGTTGCCCAGGGTAGTAAATATGAATTTTTCAAACCCATAATCGGGTTCTTCTTAGTCCATCTCTGTGAAAGCAACCATGATCTGACATGGTACACCCAGCTATTCAGAAGCTCAAGCTTCAGGTATAGAGGTTATGCTAGTTTTTGCGCGGCATCAGAATTTAATTTCTAAGGTTGCCCTGTATCTGTCTCAGGTTTTGCTTAGTCTCAAGATTAACATTTATCAATGTGTGACATGCATATTGCCAATGATATATTGAGAGGAGGTTGAATCCACTTCAATCAGAAGTGCCAACTATAACTCGTTTTTTTACATGGCTATTTGGCAGGGATTTTTGCATCTTACAAAATCGCCATGTTTAAGGCATCCTTATTGATTGCTGTTCAATTCTTGTGACTAAATATTTTTTGAGTCCCCATTACTTTCCTGATTCAAGTTGCTTTGGATCCTTTTCCCCAAATGAACATTTCAGTTACCTAATAGGTGTATTAAGGTTATATTACACACACTTTCTCAACACTTATTTGTATCCTTATTCTTATATGCCATGTATCCCCTTTACCTAAAGATTTATTTTTTTGTGGCTGTTTACCTACAGACTTTAGCAGTCAGAGTAATTTGTGCTGTTTGTTCACAGACCACTTTTTCATTCTCTTTTATGTCCTCAGATCAGTTCTTTCTACCCAAGACACTGTCAGACAGGGAAAGGAATAAATCCTTTTTCACCGATTTATCTGAGCACTATTTCTCACTTCTGTGTCCAATCAAATTTCGATCATGGTCATGTTCAGTGAGGGTCTTGAAGATTTTGTTGCCTGCACTAATGCTTTCAGATAGGCTAGACAACAACATTTTATTCTGGGCTCACTTTGAAGACAAGGAATCTTCTGAGAGTCATGTCTAATCAGATTTCTTACATTTCTACGTCCATAGTGGCCTGGTTGAATTGCCTGCTGGAGGACACTGTGTGGACTGGTATGTGGACCTCCCCCAATATTTTTATCTCACATTATTTGCATGATCTTCCAGTATCTTCATCTGAGGGTTTTCACCTACCCCTATAACTATCTTAACCATTTCTGCAAGACTACACAGAGGAATGAGTATTTTCATTACTACCTTTTCAGTGTCCCTGACCTCGTTTTCACAGGATCTCACCATGTGGTGAGTGTTCCTAGGCAGGTGTGCTTTTATCAAACCAATTCCACACTAGCAACCACTATTTCAATATACTTTATACAGGTTGCAAACTAGAGGCTGACCAGGTGGTATCACTATACTATGCTGGACTGCCACTCATGGACTATCATGAGTAAAGCATTAGGGGATCATGCTTATCCCTATTGATCTTTGGGTTGAATAAATTAGGGTCGTTGCTTTTAAAAGTTTAGGGAACTTGGTTCACCTATTGCCCTGTTTCCAGAGTACTGTTCCCCAGGGCTCCCCAATGCACATTATCCCCCAGATTGTACTAGGGGAGCTAGGGAGTCCTTACCACACCCAGTTTCCAGTCACTTGAGTGGTGGACAGAGGCTTTCCTTAGAGTGTTTGAGTGAATTCCTCCACCCTTGGAGAAAAGGATGAAGTTGAGGCCCTCCTACCTGGGTCCCTGGATGTTGGTAGGTGTGACACCAGCCTATGTGGGAGCCTACTCGTAATACCTATTCAGATGTGATGCATGGCTATCTGGTTAGGTTGAGCATGACCCTTCTTTTTGGTCAATATTGGTTTAGTACATGTATATAATTCCGAATGCAGAGTGGTCCCATCCTGGGACCTTGGTTGAGCACAGGGGCAAGTGGAAGAAAAACTGGTAAGGACTCTCAAACTTCACTAGAAGAAAAGGGAGGTAAAATGCAGTGGAGAGTCCAGAGGAACAACAACACCTGAGACAAAGCAATGGGTGACCAGAAAACAGATGAAGACTGGTGGTAGGATCTCAAGTTATGGGGAAGGCAAAGAGTACCAAGCCCAAAGGAAGTGGGGAAAGAAATAGTAGGACAAGACCTTCTGAGAAAACCCAAATAACCCATGGAACTATAGTGAAAGAATGCCAAAGGGTAACAATATAATATATTCAAGCTCCCACTCGACCGGAATACTCTGGTTTGTCTCTGGTACAGTTGGTAACCTGCCCATTAACACTGAATAAAACAAGGAGATTAGAAACCCCTGGAAGGGGGGGACAGGGATGGGTACATAAGGACCAGGATGGGAAAGGAATAGCACCATTGCCATGGCACCAACTGACTCTATCCTAGTCTCTAACATTGGCTCATAGTGGGGAGAAAGGGTGGGAGAGTGTGAGTAGAGGTAAGTATTATTGGAAATAAATTTTTGATTTAAAAAAATGTTAAATTCTAAACATACTTACCTCTTCTCACACTTATAGCTAGAATTCCACATTGAAAAGGTGGAGGGCCTGGTGGGGGCATTGTCCATACAGAAATTTCTGCATATATTATGGGTGTGTCAATAGAAGATTGGCACCCTAGTGGGGGAACCACACTACACACAGGACAGCTATGCTCTTCTTCATCTGGAACTTGATTCCTGTATTATGGGTGGAATTTTACACAATGATCTCTATAGGCCAGGCCCTGTACAGATAGCTGGGAGTCCACTACTCAGACCCTATATGACTGGAGCAAATGGACTGCATGCTATAAATATATATATATATATATATAGAGAGAGAGAGAGAGAGAGACATATACTTATGATTGGATCTCAACCTGTAGCCATAGGGTTATGCAATCTGAGCCACCAGGGTCACAACGACAAAGTAAGCAGCACTGAAGAAGTTCGAAAGGCAACACCTCAGGCTTGGAATGATGGGATTGTGTATGCCTCACTCAACCTGAAGAAACAGAAGTCATCTGTCTGGAATTATGAACATTCATCCTCACTCCCAAACCATGTGGGCAAGGTAAAGTGGCCTGTAGATGCATCTTTATGAATGGGTTAATGAAATACAAACAAAAATAGAAATGATTATAAAACCATTCAGTTGAGAGTAGGGTGGTGGTGTTCTGCTGGTGTAGATGACCTATATCCTCCAATATGAAACATAAAAATAAATGGGAGTGAGATGTCAAAATTGCAGTTCACCCTTTCAATTGAGATCCCTCATCCTACCCCCACATGGATGTCAGTTTTTAGTGGCCGGGTTTGGGATTTAGAGTAGAACCAATCAACATAAGTCCTCACACACATGTATTACATATGTCTATATTCCTCTTTCATTTATACGTTATCAGTGTTGTGGGTCCCAGTGGAGGTAATTGTGGATTGTTATGGTTCTTTCCCTTATGTTTCTTATTCTGAGAACGTTAATGTGCCTGGTGTGGTTCCAGTCAATATCACATTATGTAGACATCTTTATGATACCAGATGTTGGCTTCCCGGATCGATCTATCAATTTATCATATTCACATGTGCCCCCATTCATGAGTTGGGGGGAATTGTACTAGATTCCCTCTGGTCTCATGCACTTCAGGTGAAGACAGTATGATCCTCTTTCCTACCCCCACGAGATGGGTTTTGGATTGTAGTTGACTTGCCTGTGGTATAATCTTCTTTCTTTTCCTCACATGGATGTTGGTACCTGGTGGTCAGGTTTTGGATTGTAGTTGACTTATCAATAGTATGATCCTCATCCTACCTTCATGTCAGTTCCCGGTGGCATAGTATTTGGATGTAGTTGACTTACCATGTACGGTCCATTTCGCCCTAGCCACTCTACACCTAGGGGCAAATCCTTTTCATTTTACCCACTTTTATAATTTCTGGGATTTAGTTTCATAAATATTGCATAGTTTGGATCACTTTCTAGCCAAAATTCTCTCCCATTTCGATGTACTCCTCTGTTTTCCACCCATATATGCAACATCTTTCTACGATGGGCAGAGTATACCTGTGTTAAGTATCTGATTGTTTGTTAATTTCCAGGAGAAATTATTTCCGAGGAACTTCAGTGATACAAGTCCTTTCTTGATTAAACCAGTTTATTCTTCCTTGATACAAACTTTTAGTACACAGTAATTCCACAGTCAATACGTTTCTCGTCACTTTAAACTTAACAACTTTTATAATACACGCTATAAATCACAGTGATTCACACACTTTACTTACCATCACAACTGTTCGCTTCTTTAATTATCTATCTCTCGCTGACTTCTCTGCCAGACTTATATATTAACAAAGGGTGCATCCCGAATGCACTCGGGCCTCCTCGATCATTCATTCAGTAAAATTGAATAAAGGGAGTCACATGCGTCATGAGAGTATGTCGCATTCATGTTGGTGTAGAGGTGATGCATGACATATGAGAGATACATTGGAATCAGTCAATTCCAAAGGAGATAGAAGGCTAGTCGTATGCATACAGTTTTTCTGTGTATGGAGGGCAGCACTGAACGAGAATAGCTACTTATGTGAGAGGAGGTAAGTACCTATAGGAAATACATTTTCAGTGTAGGAAAATATAAAATATAGCAAAACATTGGGGGAAGTCACTCATTTGTTTTATATAAAATACACAAGAAACAATATTGATTGTATTTTTTTACCTTTTTTATGTGATGTGTATGTTATTAGGGGTTCTGTAATCCACAAATTCATGGACCCATAATCAACGTGATGCATAAATAGTTTAGAAAAACGTTTAAAAATCTGGTGGGTTTCTTGATTCTATCAGTAATTGTAAGTAGCAGAAAATATGACACATTTCGTAGTTTTGATATTGTTCAGAAGATGCATAGATATCAGATGATTAGCTGATTTTGTTTTCTGATGTACATTAGATTTTAATTTTGGAGAGTATCTCCATATCTTCTGTTAGGTATTGATGTTGTTTCATAATGTGCATTATTATCTACCTGTACATAGGTTTTCATTTTTGGAGCATTTGAAGGGAAAACTGGAAAAGTTTCTTGTGTTTTCAAAACACCAGATGGAACTAGGTTAATGTTTATGAATGGTGAATCAAATGGAACAGCAGTAGTTTGTAATGTGCAGCTAGACTCAGGTAGGAAATATGATTATGACTTTTTGTTAATAATATAATATTTTATTTGGTTTAATTATTTTGTGTAGAATGACTATTGTTAGTTTTACAAGCTAAGTTACTTGAATGATGATATGGACTTTGTTTCATCTTTCTTACTTTAATTTACAACTCTTAAGCATTGAGACAGAAATATCATTTAATCAATATTCTAAGGAAGACAAATTCTGAAACAGTACCTTACCTCCACACACAGAACAGTTATATTTTTTGCATGTTTGCCTAAGAGATTTGCATTCCACTAGCCTTGAGCTAACTCTCACCTAAATTAATTTGTTTAATGTGAACTGTCCTGGTATATAATTATGTTATCATGTGAAAATAGCCTTCCACCAGTAGTAGGGCAACACAATCTCCATGTGCAGTAACTCCTTCCAAGCACTTGCACTTAAGATAACCATTCTTTTTTCAGAACTGTCTAGAACAGACATCTTTTAAACATTTTTATTCAGTTATGTGAGATTTGAGGTAGTTTATGAAAACTTTACTTGTTTCAGTTTCATCGGTTTCTTTTATTATTTAAAAAAAATAACAACAAACATTTTTTTTCTATTTACCCATTCTACCTTCTCAATTGATGGTAATTTATACTTAGTCTTGTGATAGCAACTATATTCCTAACACAGGACCTGAGTCTTTGTGTTTTTGTAACATGTGTTGTGGGTTCCTTCATGCACACTGGGCCTCCTTTTCCCATCCATTCAGCTGACTTTCTTTCTCCCCTATTTCAATATAATCAGGATAGTGGTAATTTGACTTGACTTGCTATTTCCCTCATCCAGGTTTTCTCTGGTCATGGTTTTATTTATGGAGGAATATCCTCACTCTTTTATTCTTTTCCATGAAATGATTTCACAAGTATATTTCACTTGAAATTTGGGTCCATGCAGTCTCATTTCTTGACCAACTGTACACCCGTGCTAACATGTCCCATCCTCCAAGTCTACTTGACTGTTTTATCCTGACTCTGGTCATTCCTCGATTCCTACTCTTTGGACTCTCTTCTCCCTATTTGGAGGGTGGACCCCTTAACTTCTATTTTCCTTTCACACTTTTGTATTTCTTACCCCTCTTAATTTGCCTATCACTACTTTACCTGCTGACTGAGACACCTCATGGTGTTCCAGTGGAGTATTTTCTGGAGAGGTTTGTTCACATCTTTTCACTACATTAACTCTTAATTTTTCTTCCATTCTATCCCTCCTTACTTGGTTCCCCTGCTGTGGTTCCCCTGCTCTCCTAACAAGTTTGTGTCTCTCTCTCACTGTTATGTGTAATCTTTGTCAGTCTCCATTTCTTTGTCCAAAGGTCTTTGATGGTGTTTCTGACCTACTGAAGACCCAAACTGTTGTGGTCCAGGGTTAGTCATCATTGTCCACTATGGTTTCTCACCTTTCTCATCCTTGACATTCTAGGCCTGTTAAATCCATGTCTCACCTTCCTGACCTTCTGTTGTCTGCCTCTCCCACTGTCCGATGTCATGGTCATGGTTGTCACTTGACTTTGTTGGTGATTACCCTGTCAGCTCTGGCCCTGTGGTGGCCAATCTCTCTTTCTTTACTATCAGATGGGTTATTTAGGTTCTCACCCACAGCCTTACTATCCACTTCACTTCTCCTCTTTTTTTTTCTTTGTTTTCTTTCCATTTCTTTCCCTCCTCCCTTTGTCTTCAATGACTGGATGATGTAGTCTCAGATTTCTTGGTTGAGAATGCCATTGATAGGGTATTTATCCTTACATCGGGTTTTATTTTAGTTTTTATTTTCTCAAGATGACTAGGTTTTGGCATTAGTTATCCACTTCTTATCTTTCTAACAGTTTCATATCATCCCTTGATAATGTGTTGAGGCTATTTTTTCTCTCCAGTGTTCTTTCCCACATGGACTGTGGATGACCATGGTTGACATTTTAGACACCTTTTTACACATTTCAATCATTCAATCCTCTAGACATTTTCTTTATTTTGTTCATAGGAATAGGCTCATCCAGTTCCATACTCTTTCTTTTGACTTTGTGTCTGCTCTTTTATCGAATTGTTCTTCGTTTGGGAATGGAATTCCTATTTTCATGGATAAATGGCTTCTCTTCATCCCTTCTCAGGAGAACTTTTTCTCTCACACCTGCATTCTTCTGCAGGAGGCTGTGTGGCTGGATTGTCTTGTCACACCTTCCAAGTCATTTCTTACACCTATCTTACTCTCATCTCATGTGGGCTCAGCTTTCACCACTTTGCTTTTGAGAAATGGAATGTATTGTCCCATTGGTTTGTTTCTCCTTTTCACCCTGCGTACAAGGCTCTTATACTTTTGGGAATTCTGCTTTTGATTCCACCACTCATTCCTTTGGGACATACTCATATCTGCCTCTTTCAGTGGTAGTTGCTGAACAGATACTTCTCGGATACTGTTGTCCTTGATTTTATGCCTCCTGTCTCCTCTTTTAAGGTTTTGTTTTGACAGCTTAACTATACCAACATCTTGTCCTCATTTTGATACTTGACACTCTTGTCATTGCTGTTGGTGGCACCTGCTTCTTCATTTGGCATCTGTGCCCCCTCTTCCTATGTCCCATTCTGATCTCTTGCTCCTACCATGTCTCTCTCTCCCAGGGGTGTGAACCCTTCATTTTCATGTGTCGGGTTTGTCTAGTCCATTCCCTGCAGGGCTGGACTATTCAGTCATGTATCCTTTTTCAGATCCAATTCCTGTTGTCCTTCACCTCCATTTATCAGTTATGTCAGGTTTTTAACATTAGTCCATCTGTTTCTTTCTATCCATTATCCATCTATCAATTGTGTCAGGTTTTTGACATTGGTCCATCTGCTTCTCTCTTCCTATGGGCCATCCTATTGTGACCCACCTTTCAGCCCTTTTTACTTGTTTTTTTTTAACCATTTATTGTTGGATGTCCACTTTTGTTGGTTTTTGTGCAGCTTTATATCCTACATTTTACATTTTCAGTTGCTGTCTGGTTTTCTTCTTCTGTCCTCTCCACTTTATTCTGCTCTTTCCTTCTTCACTAACCCTCTTGTCCTATTGCCATGCTTGACTTTGCCTTTTTTTTTTTCAATTTATGCACTCTTCCATGGGCATTGTTTGTTCCATTGATTTCATATTTACTCTTTCAACTTTTTCTCCCCCTTTCATATTGTTGTTGTCATTTGGATATCTATGCTTTCTATGCTTCCTGTACTCTCGCTGTACTTCCTTTCTCTATCCCGGCCAGACCTTTCTTCATGACACTGTCTGCTCATGTGGGGGATCATCCCTTCACATTTTGTTTCATCAAATTTGTCCACTGTCTCACTTTCTTACATCTCATTTTCACTGGCTATTGGACAAAACCCTGCAGGCTGGCATGTGAATGGATTTGCACACATTTGTCTCCTTTTATCTTCTTCATCATCTGGTTGTTTCATCTCCTGCAGGGTTTCAGTTCACTCCAGTTGCTGTTCTTCACTACATTTACATACCGTCTTTGAGAAGGGTAAGTACACTTTCCTTTTCAAGACCATTTGCCCCTTTCTTGAATCTCCCCAAGTGGCTGGTGTTACCTCCCAGGTTATGCTTATTTCCCAAAATCTGTATTTGGCCAGGGATAATGGAAAGTGCTCAAACCATCTGCTCTGGTTCTACTAGTGCCCACTCTCGAGATGATGTATCTTCATGGTATACAGTACAATTACTAAATTGCCTGATCCAGACCAAATAATTTCATAGAAAATAATGGAAAAATCCAGCACCAGGCAGGTGACTGCCCACTTCTTTGGCTCACTCTTGCCAGTTTTTAAATACAGGGTTTCACATTCATCCACTGCACTGTCTCCAGTAAAAGTACTTTCTTGTGGGCAGACTGATGGGGATCTGGACATTCTCTGGGTTTTCCCAATCCAAATTCTCCACCTTTCATCAAGTGTAGCACAGTAGACTCTTCCCACTTACAAGTTCATAACCATTGGGGTGATGGTCCTTGGAGAATTCCTCCCTGGTTGGTCATAGCACAGTATGGTGAGAAGTAAGGTAGTGGTGTCATCACTCAAACAACTCATGTGCCCTCCTCCTGCAGCGAGAATCTGTCCAGTAGAGTTGAGGTGAGCACACATTGTTTTGTCTGATTGTGCCATAATCGCACTATACACATTTACCATGTTCAAATTTCACCCATTCCTGTGACAATTGGAGCTTTTTTGCCTCTTTTCCAATTTCATTCCAGGTGAAAAGTTTATTCTGTTTGAGACAAGATGTGGTCTCTCTATGAAGCTCCTGCCATTGGTTGTTACACTCCATGAGCTTTTCCTTTGGGCTCTCTCTGAAGGGAGCTCCCCCTAGGTTTTAGTTTACAGTCTTTTTCCCCAGTTCAATGTGGGATTCATGTTTTTCTGTGTGCAGATCTAAGATATTGTCTCTGATGTTAACATTTTTGTAATCTGAAAATGTATATTTGATAGCTATTTACCTCCTCACACACTCCTACCTGACCATTACACTTCTGGTGCACTTTTTTCCTTGCCTTATCTAAGAATGAAGTTATCTTGAGTGCAAATTCTTAGGGATAGTTACAGCACATGAAGGTCGTGTCACCTTTCTGTTGGTGGAGGGCTATTGTCGCATTATATCATCATACACCAGTGCAGTTCACGTTAAACGTGTGAATTTAGTTGGGAGTTAGCCCAAGTCTAGTAGCATGCAGTGGTGATTATCTATTGGAAATACATTTTCAGATTAAGAAAATGTTAACATCCACATGAAATCACTTTAGTATATTATCTGAACTATATGAAAATAAATCTCTTGGTACATTTTCCAAATTACTTGGAGAAATATAATCAATGCTTTATGATTTTAATAAAAACTGTCTTGTCAGATGCAGAGAATAATATATTCCCTATACAATAAAGAAAATCAAGTTAATTTAGTCTGTCACAATTTCTTGTTCATCATGTTGTCGTCTTTAGGTTGATATGGTAGATGTACTTGAATTAACACTTTCAATATAGGCATTTTGTTTCAGTGCATATCACAAGGTTTTAGTGAGTTACATTCACAATTTAATTAAAATACTTTATTGTCATGGTATATGAATAAACTTAGCATCAAAATGTAGCTAATAATCCAAATGTTGATATTATGTCAGGTTTAAGTTCTTAATTTTATAAGGCAATATTAGAAAAAATCCTCAATTTCCCCTAGTATGAGAATTGTGACATTTGCTCTCTAGGTATTCCCCTCTTCTCTAATTTATTTATCAACCATCTGAGAAGTACAAAATTTAACATAAATTACTCATTGTATTGTTGTCACTCAGGCAAAGTATATTTTTTATAGACTTCAATCTTATTTGGTTATGAAGTCATAAACTAGAAAATCAGACCCCTCTTACCATGCCCTCTCTTTCACAGATTGCCAATAGTTCTCTCTTATGTTGAATACTACATTACTTATAACCAATAGAAAGGCAAGGTTTCAATCTATCAAGTGATATATTATATTAATTTTTTTTTACAGAGAATTGTCTATTTTGAACTTTATTTCCATTGGAACCACAGCAACGGGCTTAGTTGAATTTTTAACAGCTCTTGTTTCACAGTCAGAAAGCCAGAAAAATTTTGATAGTTAAGAGACATTGTCTGTTTTTTTGCACATTATTATTCTGTATTCTTTGGTGCATGATTTAGTTAAATAAAAAAATTATTTAGTGCAGTTGTACCATTAGTATAAAAAAGTAGGGTTAAGTTTCGTCAACAGCAAATAAAAGAAGACCCAGGTAAATACTTTATTTCTTGTTTTTCATGTGTATTCTTTATTTATTTTTATAAAAGTAACTAAAATGTAAAAATTAAAAACTTTTTAGATCAGATAAGGTTAAATTACATAGAATGAATAATAATAATTTTAATGAAATATGCTTGCAAGCAACTAGTGAGTAGCCTGTGCATTATGTAATTCAAAAAGATAATGTGAGCTACACATTTGTTAAGTGATTCACAACTCCTATTGCAGGAATATTAGGTAGACATACTTCAAAGGCCAATAAAACAATAAAAGTTAAGTATAAACAGATGTATACTGTTACGAGTTTAAAGCTATTTAGGATAAACAAATGTAGTTTCATGTTAGAATTTGTAGTAATTCTAGAAACAGTAAAGGGTAATTTAGATTTCTTTCGAATATTTATTTGGTATGTAGGAAGTCAGTCAAATCACCAACCTTGTATAGAGTTAGAATAAAGAAAGTAACAGATAAAATATATAGGTTTACTAAAAAAAAAAAGCATTTGAAATGTGTTTAGGAGGTTTTAGAAATTATGCAAATGAAATTTGAGATTTTTTAGGTGAATAAAAGTATTTTTAATTTTAACATGAAGATCACTTTGCATGTGGAACAGTCAACACTCTGACCCCAGATATTCATAGAGAAATGTTTAGTGAAAATACTTCATCAAAAATTCTGACTTTTTGTATAAATATGACTTAATGATTACTGAAAGCTTGCAAAATTTCGTGAAGATCCACAAAACTTATTAGAAGTTATAGTATAGAAATTATAAAGGTCAATTTAGGGTCACAAGTTCAGCTGATTTGGCTGAGCCCTTAGTGAGAGATTTAAAGAGACAAGTTGTACATAAAGATCAATGGGAAAGGTCACACACACAGATTATTATTATGATTTGATTTCATTAAACTTGCTCAACCTTATGGATAAGGTCCTGGTTTTGAACTAAATTAGTTTCTTTGAAAGTCATTAGATATGGAAAGTTCAAGTCATTTCATTACTTTTATATTATTGTAATATATTAAACAAGTGACATACACATAGCAAACTAATGTTCACAATCAGAAGAATTTACTTGCAATTACATACTATACTTGTTTTGTAGTCCCAGCTGCTTCATATATAGTGTTAATGCCAGCTCTAGATATGACTGAATGATGTCTTCTGTTATAAGTCAAGTTTAAAACAAAAACAGCTGATTATAAAAGTAATGACAGTCACACTAGCTCTAGCATGAGAATAAGTTAGTTCATAGTGCATTTGAATCTGTGATTCAAAAAATTTGGTTCAAGACACATATATATAGATAGGGATGTTATGGGTTGCTTTATTGCTTACTGAAGCTAAAAACATTGCCTGACAATGAACTCAGCACATTCCGAAACATCACCTCCAAAACAAGACACAAATCAGAAGCAGTTCATATATATGGCAACAAACTCCTTAAAACATTCTTGACTTAACGCTTCAATTTTAATGTTATTTAAGTTATGTTCATTGAACAAAATAATTATGAAGACATTTAAATGAAGAATTTGCTTTAAGTTTAAAAATGATAAATCACTCAGGAAAAACAACTGTACCACTGATCCTAGTCGTTTAATGGCTAGAAAACAGCAAAAACATAGCAACTTCTGAAGTTTTGAAAAAACAACTTATTTTCTCTCTCAAATTTTACATGTATATAATGTACTACAATAACTATCTTGAAAAGCACAGTTAAACAAAGGCTTGTAACTGCACTTTAAGAAAAATGAAAGTGTTCACAGTATTAAAATGTTTACCTAATACATCGTAAGAAATCCATATAGTTTATTTAGTATTTGGATTGAAAAACAATTATTCAAATTGAATTTGGAAATTTCTCAAAGGTTTTACTCTAGAATTTATAAACTTTGGAGGGCAAGCTTGTTTTACTTTTTTTATTTAAAGTAAAACTTGAAATTGAAATGCATAGGGTTCTTCATTAGTTGTAGACATCATAGAAATGGTACAAATATTTCCTTCAAGCATACACTAAATTCTCAGGATACTTTATCACATGTATTCTGTAAAACGTTTATTTCTTATGTTTCATGAAATATGAACCTGCATACAACGTTTCATGCTAAAATTAGTTTTCTGATAACTTTCATTTATTTTATATGAAACACTGTACAGTGGCATCCTTCAGTTCTTATACAATAGTTTGTGAACTAGCTTAGCCAGTTTGAAGAAGAATTGTGAAAATAATTATAAAATGTTTCTTTCTTCAATTTACGTGAGATGTTAGAATAAAACATTTATTCATAGTCTAGGTCCCATTGTGGAACAGCAGTAAGTCTAAGGACTTACAACAATAAAGTCCCACGTTTGATTCCCTGTGGTAGTCATGCCAGATAGCCCATTGTGGCTTTGCTCTAAAATGAGCAAACAAAGAAATATGGTCAAGGATTTATTACATTCTTTCATCATTTGTGTGTTATTTACAATTCAACAAGACTACTTGAATTAAGCTACAAATCTAGAAAGAAAATTAGATAGATGAGATGAAATGCTTTTAAATACTCAATAGAATATGATTGACAAGTAAAAATGTGTGTGTTAAAGAGTGCTGGGATTGCTGTGGATTTACAGTAAGATAAAGAAAGCTGCATAAACCATTGTTTTACATACATTGTCCAGTCTCTGTTGCAGATAAGCTTGAAAATAAGTGTCATTGTTGAACTCACACTGTCCTGTCACTACTACAAATAAGCCTGAAAATAAGTATCATTAGTTGTTGAACTTACACTGTCCTGTCACTACTACAAATAAGCTTGAAAATACGTATCGTGGTTGAACACACACTGTCCTGTCACTACTACAAACAAGCTTGAAAATAAGTATCGTGGTTGAACACACACTGTCCTGTCACTACTACAAACAAGCTTGAAAATAAGTATCATTGTTGAACAATTTTCAAGCTTATTTGTAGTAGTGACAGGACAGTGTGAGTTCAACAATGATACGTATTTTCAAGCTTATTTGTAGTAGTGACAGGACAGTGTGTATTGTTTGTAGTAGTGACAGGACAGTGTGTGTTCAACAATGATACTTATTTTAAATATTGTTTGTAGTAGTGACTGGACAGTGTGTGTTCAACAATGATACTTATTTTAAATCTTGTTTGTAGTAGTGACTGGACAGTGTGTGTTCAACAATGATACTTGTTTTCAAGCTTGTTTGTAGTAGTGACAGGACAGTGTGTGTTCAACAATGATACTTGTTTTCAAGCTTGTTTGTAGTAGTGACAGGACAGTATGTGTTCAACAATGATACTTATTTTCAAGCTTGTTTGTAGCAGTGACAGGACAGTATGTGTTCAACAATGAAACTTATTTTCAAGCTTGTTTGTAGTAGTGACAGGACAGTGTGAGTTCAACAATGATACTTCAACAATGATACTTATTTTAAGTATTGTTTGTAGTAGTGACAGGACAGTGTGTGTTCAACAATGATACTTATTTTAAATATTGTTTGTAGTAGTGACTGGACAGTGTGTGTTCAACAATGATACTTATTTTAAGTATTGTTTGTAGTAGTGATGGGACAGTGTGTGTTCAACAATGATACTTATTTTAAGACACACACTGTCCTGTCACTACTACAAACAATACTTAAAATAAGTATTATTGTTGCATGCACAATGTCCAGTCATTGTTACAAACAAGCTTAAAAATAAATGTCATTGCTGAACACACACACTGTCCAATCACTACTACAAATGAGCTTGAAAATAAGTTAATTCTTTTATTTAAGATTTGTCAGCATTTTACTCTGATCATTATATCATTAATATTATATGTAGGTAAATCATTCAGCAAGATATTTTACATAAAATTATATAGGATTTCTTAAACATATCATTATCTTCATCATCTAATTATTTGTAATTCTGTGTTAAGTATTGAAAATTTGTGTTAGAAGGTTCATCTTTTGTCTGAAATAAATTTGATTAGATTTGTGTTTAATAACTTCTATTTTCAGGTGAATACGAAGTAGGATTCAGTGTGAATCGAAACCAGATTATTTTTGCTAAGAAAACTGTGTTTTTGGTGTATGAAAATGGAGGTAAGTTCCTAGTGTGTTGTTTAGGAGATGGTATTCAGTATGCTGTCTGTAAAATTTAATACTTTCAGCTTCTATTTGTGTAACTATTGAGAATAATTGACTGAAAATAAGAGCAGTATTTGTTCTTTTCAATATTTAGAATCTCTAGTAGTTCCTTATTCTTTATTTAATCATATTTTCTCTGTTTCATTATGTTTGCCAAGTTGGATATGAGAAAATGAGTCCAGAATCTTCTTTCTACAAATATATGAACATTAAGAACACTAGTGTACGAGTCACTTTTAGTGGTGGTTCTGTTCCAGAGGTGGTGATGTATTGTTTAGTGACTGGACCAGGTGAGATTTACCTGTGAACGATATATAGAAAGTGTTAGGTATTATATTAACTATAGCTTTCAAACTTATATTTAATGTGTCAGTATGAACTCCTATTTATAATATGTTGATAGAGATATATTTTTTATTCCCAACAGCTTTTGCACTCCAAATATTGGTGAACACAGAATAATATGTTATTTATTTTTTCAATTCATAGAACTTCAAATGACTTATAGAAAACTAATTTTTAAATTCTGTATTGAGATCTTTAATGTTATGCAGAAAAGGGAAATTATGAATTATGAACGACAATCATAATCATTAACTAGTAGAAACGTTTTTGCTAACTCTTTGGGGGGTCCTTACTTGTGTTAGATTGTTTATTAATCCAGCCCTGACTGTCAGTAATATTTTACCTAATTGTTTATTACTAAAAGATGGTCAATGTGTATACTGTGCTTCAGGATTAACTAATTGTTTATTACTAAAATATGGTCAATGTGTATACTGTGCTTCAGGATTAAGTTATTGCAACATGGTAATGATTTATAACTAATTGTTTATTACTAAAAAATGGTCAATGTGTATACTGTGCTTCAGGATTAACTAATTGTTTATTACTAAAAAATGGTCAATGTGTATACTGTGCTTCAGGATTAACTAATTGTTTATTACTAAAAAATGGTCAATGTGTATACTGTGCTTCAGGATTAAATGAAAAAAATAATGGAAAAAAAATTAATAAAACTGAAATATGAAAAAAATCACTAAATTTTGCCTTTGACGAATATTTCATATGTCAAACAGATACAGGTAAAAAGAGATCGTAAATTTGGTTACACATATTTTTACTATTTTAAAACAAACCCTATTATGGGGTTTTTATAACATTAACTGGCATTTTATTGGGACTTCCATGTAATATTAGGGTGCATCACCGTTTTACTGGGATTTCCATGTAATATTAGGGTGGATCACCAATTTACTGAGACTTCCATGTAATATTAGGGTGGATCACCAATTTATTGGGACTTCCATGTAATATTAGGGTGGATCACC